TGAAATAAACTTGATGAAGGAAATGCAGTACAGTGATAGCCTTGCTGATCCCCGGACGTTAGAGAGACAAGGTGGCTGAAACAAAAAACAGGACTATGTAGCACTTTAAAGACTACATAGTCCTGTTTTTCGTTTCAGCTACACCAGACTAACACGGCTACATTTCTATCACTAAGGTGGCTGAAGTAATTCTTTTTTATGGACCAGCTTCTGTTGGAGAGAAGCTTTTCAGGATACACAAGCCTCTTCTTCAGGTCTTGGAAACTAACTTAGGGCATATCTACACTTGCCATGAAAAGCACAAAAAGTGCTTTCTTTTTTTTGCACAAAAACTGCAGGAGTGCCTATACTTGCCAATGACTGTAGTGAATGCTTCCCTGTTTCTGACTGCAAACAGCAAGCCACCTCTGCAAGAGGCATACATCTCTTACCACTGATGCTTGCACAGTTATGTCTAAGCGAAAACATGTTATTCCGATTCACACAGCTTTTAGCCTCTGCAGGATATCCCACAGTGCCCAGGGGCCACTTTATGTGTAATCAGAGCTAGACTTTATAGGGAGAGTACAGAACTTGAAACTCCCCTTCCTGTTTTCCTGGCAGTGCTGCTGGTCTCTGCAGGATATCCCACAGTGCCCAGGGGCCACTTTATGTGTAATCAGAGCTAGACTTTATAGGGAGAGTACAGAACTTGAAACTCCCCTTCCTGTTTTCCTGGCAGTGCTGCTGGTCAGGTGACAATGGCTGCTCCACAGAGCAAGCAATCCTCTGCTTGGAGCAATGCTGAAACACTTGGAGCAATGCTGAGAGACGGAGCTGATCCGTGTTTGGTGAGCAGGGGCTGCGCAGGGAGCGAAGATGCCCTGCAATCATCCCTTCCCCCCATCCCACAAGGTCTATTCTCACAATGGAGAGAGCTGCACTGTGGGATAGCCACCCTCAGTGCACTGCAAGTACAGGCAGTCCCCGGGTTACGTACAAGATAGGGACTGTAGGTTTGCTCTTAAGTTGAATCTGTATGTAAGTCGGAACTGGCGTCCAGATTCAGTCGCTGCTGAAACTGACCGCCAGTTCTGACTTACATACAGAATCAACTTAAGAACCCCAGGCGTCCCCAAGTCAGCTGCTGCTGAAACTGATCAGCAGCTGATTCCAGGAAGCCCGGGGCAGA